GCAGTAAAAAAAACTTTTCAAGTGGATTTTAATTAACTGTCAAGTTCTCAGAGTAACTTGCAAATATTGGATGTTTCACAGCAGTTCTCCAAAGCCCCTCTTCTCTCAGTCAAATAGGACAAACAGCAGAGATGGATGTCAGGTTAGGGAGAAAAATAGGTCGGTAACTGACATAGAGACCTCATTTTGGTTCATATCTGCATAGAAACTGATCTGATATTCTTTTTTAACGACATATGCGGTACTCTGCAAAGAAATGAGCCACCCTTCATTTCTTCATGTGTTGCCTCCAAGGAGCCAGACTTTGATGTCATTTTTTAAAGAACATTAATCCACAAAACTGTAATATTTGGTAAAAGAAACAATCCATGCTGGGATGGTGGTTATGTAGTTTAGCCGAATGATTCAGCCTTCTAATTAACTTGGTCAGAATTTGGAGCTACAGTGACTTTTAAACACGACTCACTGAAGTAATTCAGGTAATTAGAAACCTTTTAATTGATCTAATTTGTGTCAAAGCTGTAACTCTGAGCTATAACTCAAAGCTCATACACATATTTTTAGAGTGAGCGTCAACTTTCTCCACACTTTCTTGATCGAGGCTGCTGTGGTATCGGCAGAGATATTGACTCACAGCTCATGGAGCCAATTAAGGTAGAGGGTTTCTCACATCACATGTCAGTCACAAGGAGACGATTCTCATATTTATAAATTCAGCCTGACTTAATTGGTAGGAAAAAAGCACATGATGTCTTTATAATTATCTGGTTTCCTGAACTGGTAATAAAATGGGATTGAAACTTTGTGTCAATTACAAGTGTAGAAAAACACAATGTGCTTAAGCTAACACTGAGACACAAAAGAAACAGGCATCATGTAGATGTGCAAGATCTGAATGATCCAACTTTTGTTTCATTAAAAGATTGTTTCATCTCTGCTTTAAAGATTCATAGTCCAAAGTTCAAAATAATCTGTATGTATCTGTTTATACTAAGCCTTGGTTTAGCCATTTAGTTCATTGATTGATTGAAATGAGCTTGATTGTGTCACAGTAGACACTAGTTGTAATATTCTTTTTTGTACTAGAGGGAAACGAAGTGTTGAAAAAACAAAGCTGTGAAATATTAACTATGTGTCATCATGGTGAACTGCACTGTACTCTAGCAACACAGTGAAACCTGATGCATGGAGTATTGGCTACAGGCCACAAATCCTTCAGATCTGATAGTTCAGCAGGTACCTACAACGGATTGAAAACAAAGTGGCAGTCGTCATCTGTCACACTTTAAACCTTGAACCCAGTTGTGAGTTAAACCATGCTCAAACATAAGTGGTTCCTGGATCTTTTGCATAATACCTATCCTTTCTAAGTCTGTTGAAGCTATGCAACGGTCTAATGTCTTCCTCTCATGTGGTTACACTAGACAAATTGTTGATGGATAATTATGTAATAATACTCATTCATTTTCAGTCACGCTTGATGAGCTGTTCTTGCTCTTTTGGCACAGGCCTGGCATCTATTAGGGGTGAAGTGGTGTTTGATGGAGACAGTCGACTGCCCCAAGTTGCTTTAAGAGGCGGATTATCTACTGTCTACATATTCAGTAGTGCTTTCTACTACATTCTCTGTCTTTCTAAAGTACTTTTAATCGTTTAATATTATTTTAAGTGTTGAACCATTGGCAGTACAAAAAGATGAAGGTAGCTTTCGGTCTGAAAAGTGAAGCCAACAAAGAAGTGCCTGGTGTCTCCTGTGGTCCTTTAGAAGACTATGAGAAAAAGGCCCTTGACCTTGGTAAGCTAGTTTTGTAAATTCATTGTAAAATAATGTTATTAATCCTATCATTCATAACATAGAGTTTCAAAACACAGAGAAGATGACGGCAAAAATGCTCATCTTCAGGTTTCAGAATGGGACTTGGTCATGCTACCTTTTCTTCACTTGGTCTTTAGGGGTTAGTGTTACTGATGGAATAGGATTAGGTTCAGTTTTCCATTAAAGTTTTGCCTGGAACTCCCTAATGGAAAAATTCTAGACTAATAGAAAAAATGTATGAGATTTTTATGAGACAGTTTAGCATGTGGGTAAAACAAAATTCAAGGCTAATGCTAGGCAGGTTGTTTGGTGACTCAGATGTTAAGATTAAGGTAACACTGCTGGCTGATACTACTAGCACCAAAACATTAGCAGGAGACAGCTGCCTGGGGACTGACATCTAAGTCATTATCTCTGGTATCCCTAACCCCTTTTTTGAGGAGGGCAACTTGGAGGACTTTGATCTCAAAGGGTTAAGTCAATTATGATTGCTAGTTCTTAGTGGCTCCCACCTCTGTATGTATTCAGTGCTGCTGATCAGAAACACCCTGCTTGCCTTGCCATTTTGGACATGCTCCAACCCAGTCTTCTAGCGGTTGTGATTTGGCCTCGTTCCAAATCAGTCAGGCCTTAACACCTGCACATTTCCTCCACATACAAGATACTGAGTAAGAGAACCAACTGTCATTTATTACCTAATATATCCAGGACTTTCACATTCATCGCTGCTCCAAGACAGTCATCATTGCAGTTTAGAGTTCCATGACGTACATACAGGATATTATGAGAGCTATATACCCTTTAAAAACATGACCTTGGTCCTTTGGAAAGGTTACTTCTGCCTTTAGGCAACCATAAGAATCTCTAGTAGATTGTGCCAAGAGAGAATACTGAATTCCAGATGGTTGCACTCCTTGAAGTCAATTTTTTCTCACTGCAGTGCACATGGTGTTTGTGATATGAGTGCAGCACAGAATGTCAGGTCACTCTGGAAACAGCATCATTTGAATGCCTAGAAAGTGCCTGGAAATTTCACTTTGCTGAACAAGCCTACAGAGAAATATAATGTAATACTGACAGCTGATGAAAGAGTTCTATTCCTCCTTACAAAGGTTTGTCCCAGGCTGAGACCACTGCACAACTCTTAAAAATCCTTTTTTATAGTCTACGTCAGCTCGCTATGCCGTGGTTCCATGTTGATTTTACATATTTTTAATGAGCTGATGTTGAGAAGTGTTTGGACTTCATCTTAATTTAATTATTGGTGTGTTGTCGATGTCATTATAATAAGGGCACCATTGCCTTGTGCTTTGAGTATTACACAGGCATACAGAGCAATCAAACCTAAAGAGTCGCTCTTGGTGACACTTAATACCACCGTGCACAAAAGACAGCCACTACTCACTTCGCCATGGCCATGTTGCATTAACAGATCCAACCAGTCGCCTTCAGGCAACTTTTGTTGTAATTTGGCCATATATACATAAAAATATAGTGCTATATTTCATAAATAAAATTATTTATTATTTTTAATTATTATTAGTTATTTTTTTTAAACTTCCTACCCACTCTCTTATATACTTATCTGCCCTAACTTTAAATATAGATATTCTTTAAATGGTAGATTGTACATGATGAGATATCCATTCATTCATTTTCTTATTTAGTCTTAATTGGTCAGATCAGTCAGATCTCTCACTAGTCCATTTTGCATCACTATTAATATAAAACAAGCACAATGTTCAGTGGAATTTATTACTCATCTGGTCAACATCTCTTATACTAATATATTTAGCTAAATGTGGGACATGTTTTTGACAAGTTACTTTTACCTCAGATAATTTGTGTTAGTGATATATGTGCTACATGTGCACAGTCACCTAAAACATTCACAGTCTACTAGGGATTCAATTCAATTTTATTTATATAGCGCCAAATCACAACAAAAGTCGCCTCAAGGCGCTTCATAGATACAGAGAAAAACCCAACAATCATATGACCCCCTATGAGCAAGCACTTTGGCGACAGTGGGAAGGAAAAACTCCCTTTTAACAGGAAGAAACCTCCGGCAGAACCAGGCTCAGGGAGGGGCGGGGCCATCTGCTGCGACCGGTTGGGGTGAGAGAAGGAAGACAGGATAAAGACATGCTGTGGAAGAGAGACAGAGGTTAATAACAGATATGATTCAATGCAGAGAGGTCTGTTAATACATAGTGAGTGAGAAAGGTGACTGGAAAGGAAAAACTCAATGCATCATGGGAATCCCCCGGCAGCCTACGTCTATTGCAGCATAACTAAGGGAGGATTCAGGGTCACCTGGTCCAGCCCTAACTATATGCTTTAGCAAAAAGGAAAGTTTGAAGCCTAATCTTGAAAGTAGAGATAGTGTCTGTCTCCCGAATCCAAACTGGAAGCTGGTTCCACAGAAGAGGGGCCTGAAAACTGAAGGCTCTGCCTCCCATTCTACTTTTAAATACTCTAGGAACAACAAGTAGGCCTGCAGAGCGAGAGCGAAGTGCTCTAATAGGGTGATATGGTACTACAAGGTCATTAAGATAAGATGGGGCCTGATTATTTAAGACCTTGTATGTGAGGAGCAGGATTTTGAATTCTGGATTTAACAGGAAGCCAAAACAGGAGAAATCTGCTCTCTCTTTCTAGTCCCTGTCAGGACTCTTGCTGCAGCATTTTGGATTAGCTGAAGGCTTTTCAGGGAGTTTTTAGGACTTCCTGATAATAATGAATTACAGTAGTCCAGCCTGGAAGTAATAAATGCATGAACTAGTTTTTCAGCGTCACTCTGAGACAGGATATTTCTAATTTTAGAGATGTTGCGCAAATGGAAGAACGCAGTCTTACATATTTGTTTAATATGTGCATTGAAGGACATGTCCTGGTCAAAAATGACTCCAAGGTTCCTCACAGCGTTACTGGAGGCCAAGGTAATGCCATCCAGAGTAAGAATCTGGTTAGATACCATATTTCTAGGCTTTTCAGGGCCGAGTACAATAACCTCAGTTTTATCTGAATTAAGAAGCAGAAAGTTAGCGGCCATCCAGGTCTTTATGTCTTTAAGACATTCCTGCAGTTTAACTCATTGGTGTGTGTTATCTGGCTTCATGGACAGATAGAGCTGGGTGTCATCTGCATAGCAGTGAAAATGTATGCTATGTCTTCTAATGATGCTGCCTAAGGGAAGCATGTTTAATGTAAACAGAATTGGGATGGGAATTGATAAGGATTTAATGATTCCACAATATCACTTATTCATTTAATTCCTTATAGATTCTCCTATCGATTCCAACTGCTCCATTTTGAGAGTCACCACCATGACTGAGCAGCACAGACATTAGATTCTTGCAAATGAATTACATGCTGTGGGTCAAATGTTTGTGCCTGTTGGAGGTTTTTCCCCTCTTTGCTGTGATCAGTGTTGGGGTCATTACTCATAATAATTATTACACATAATACACAGAAAACTTTTTGTAAAAAATAACACAGTACTTGACTTAATTACAGAAAGCAGAAAGTAAGTCATTATGCCGCTTGTTACTTTACGTTCATGTTACTCTCTAGAATCACCTTCTGACACATAGTCTAATAATCACCAATTATACCATCGTACCATCAGTCCCACACACCAACACCAATCCCTATCCTAATGAGGATACACATATGTTTCTCCTAGTATTTAAATATGAACAAAAAGAGACTTTAAAGTAATCGTGACAGTAATTTTACATTAGAAACATGAACAGGTAGAAATGGATCTGACTGCTCATCTGTTGAAGTTTAGTGTCTGGTTGCTGGCCTGGGGTATTCACTCAGCTTTAACCTCATGCGGGTTCTTGAATAACTTAGGGTTAGCATGTTGTCTGTGCGGGTCCTTACAAAAAAACTGAAGTTATGTTAGCAGTAAAATGTGGGTATTTCTGCCCTGGACGCTCTTGTCCTTTTATGCAAGAAAAATGAAAGTAATGTTCATATCTGTGCTGTAGACTGTGTCACTATTGTCACACGAACTGAAAACACCTCATTGTAATGCAAGTACAAGAGGAACTGATAAGCGGGATCAACAGGCAAGCAGACATATAATTCTGGGAACTTGTTCTGGATATCCATCCCTGCATTCAGTACAGCAGTGTATATTATTTCATATGCAAAACTAATTTTGTTAAATGGTTATTATTCTTATTTGTGAATAGAAGAAGAAGAAGAATTCTTATTATTGTCCTTCTAATTAATAGGAATAACAATCCTTTTATTGTTACTTGTTTTGTTTTGTTTTGTTTTTTGAATTCCAGTAACAATAAGAAAAATGGAGGCAAGCAAGAGCCTTAAAAAATATATAGCACTATATATTCCAGAAATTTGAATCAAAGAACATTTAGCCTTGTCTAGTAATGGTTATGAATGCAGAATCGGTGGCACTTATGTTAATCCCATTGTAGAGACATTGGCTGCAATTCATCCGGAGACGCTTCAGAGGTCACTTGCAAGATAATTCTTCATGAATAGAAGTTAATGGAGCTAAAGGGCTACATTAAAAAAGGCCAGAGTGTGTTGTAGGTTTTGCAAATATACTATTAAATATATTTTAGGATTTAATACTTATGCCCTTTTTGATCTCTTGTTTTTGTTTTTTTGACAAAGAAGCCCATTTGTCCATAAAACACCCGCTAATGTATGCTGATCCATCTCTTAACAATAATAACAGGAGTAATTGCGCTACAGTTACAAATATGTAGTGACTTTCATTACAAAGTTAAGTGCAAGTTAGCGGATAAGAAGGAAAAAGAGTAATGTGTTTTCTTGCTTTAATCATCTGGTTTCAGTTTATTTGCCGGGAGGAGTGAAATGGTTGAGTGATCTACAGGTTTTGAGCGGTGAAAATATTTCTTTTAATTTTTATTGCACAAAAGTAGAAGATAAGAATGCAAAGTGCTTTCAGGACAGAAATAACTGCATTATACTGCTAACACAACTTTGGTTAATGCTAACACAAAGCTAGTCAACATGTAATTAAGGCAAGTGATGAGCAGTTAGACTTGCAGCATTGTAGCCTCCATTTCTACCTGTTCATGTTTCTACAGTAGACTCACTACAGTGCAGTAGAATTTCAAGTGTCGTTGGTCTGTTTTCTTCAGAATCAGAATACTTTATTAATCCCGAAGGAAATTAGGGTTACAGCAGGCAGCACACTAATGGCGCATGCGCACTTACAAAGGAACCTTCAAACCTTTTTTAACTTTGCTTTGTATTGTTGGTTCTGTTAGTGTGTGGAGCTGTAGCCTAAGGTTTATAGTGTTAACTAGTAACTACATGACAATTACTTTAACATGGGCATTTTAGGCAGTAGCATGAATAACTATCCCAACACTGCTCACAACTGAAACTTCCATGTGTGTGCAAGAAGTAGCTGGTTGTGGTGTTTGAAGGTAATGCTATCATGGGACATCCCCAACACTAAAACTGAAAATGGGCCTAGATCTGTTAAAAACATAATGAAAATGTCCAGAGGATTTCCAGATTGTTGGCTAAAGCTCCATTGGGCTGCATGCTGTTCTTTCCAAACCCCATGTCTGGAGTTCAGAGTTGTCACATTGTCATCTGTTGTTAAAATGTCAGCTATATTTGGCCCCTGTATAAATTAATTGAGCCTCAGTTAAAGTAATAAGTGTGATGAAAGGATTTGATTCAGTAATTCATGTCAAGTGGATAAAATCTTTGCACAGTGAAAATGCGAAAAGCGCAAAACAATTTAACTGAAGGCACAAATTAATGGAGACAAGAGTGCAAGGTTCAGACGTAAATTCTTTTGTATGGCACTTCACGACGTCACTGTGGTAAATTTTATTATGTAGTTTGTCTGCTTTTGTGGCCAGTCACTGGCTGATACAACAGGGAGACAAGTCTCACCAGGATGATTACAGTCTTCAGCGTGTCTTTCGCCATGTATCAACATGTGAACACTGGCTGTCATTTGGCAGACGAGTGACTGTGGCAGCCATTGATCTGGTGCTTGCACGTATGTGTGCATGCATGTTCCCCGCATGTGTGTATGCAATCTTTGTCTTCATGTGTGTATGCCTGTGCATGTTTGTCGCTAGGGGTTGGATGCTGAAATGTCGCTCCAGCGAATGAGGGAATATTCCTGGCTGTCATGTGACTGTGTGATGTCAGTGAGAGAGAGAGAGAGAGAGGAAGAGAACAGAGATAAAGACATAGGGAGAGAGTGTGAGCGAGAGAGAGAGAGAGCAAGGTGCAATTTACCCCCACAGCTGATCAGTGCAGTGCTCAGAGAGAAGCTGAGACGACTAGACTCACACACACACTTCTTTTGGCTCACTTATATGCACATGCACTGCACACACACACACACACACACACATGCACTTTGGGCACGTCAACACACAAACTGGGAGGCATCACTTTAAAAAAGAAAGGATGCATTGCTTCCTCTGCTTTCTAAGCTCATGATACTTTGGATACCGAGGACAGATCTGCCTCCTGGACAAGAGTAAAACGATTCTTACTGGAGAGAGAGAAAAAACTCTGAAGAAGAAAAAAAAACTACACAAAAAAGGACACGCAATACCAGCAGAGATTATTACTGGCAGCGGCGGGTTTGGACAACCATTCAGTGGGCATTTTCAACAGCAGCTGCACCAGCAGCAGCATCAACAACACAAACCTTCCAGCACTCTCTCTGGCGTCAGCGTCCCTGCGCTCCTGGCCTCCTCTCCACTGTTTCCCTCCAGTCCGGTCTCTATGCACCACAGTGACTGGTACTGCCAAGGCCAGATGGCACTGGGGGGGCAGATTGCAACTGCAGCTCAGGCAGGGTCCAGAATAACTTTGAAGGAAGATCAGGTGAAATTAGGGCAAGCCAGGATGGAAGGTACATCGTCCAGAGTGATGTCCGAGGCTCCAGGTGCCCAAACCTTCAACATGCCGGCACAGAAAATCGATGATGAGGAGTTCAAAGGGGGGAGATTGAGGGAGGGTGGACTTAGGGTGGGGGAGGCAGGAGGGTCATTAGGAAGTGCAGCACAAAGTCCCAACAGCCCCCTGTCCTCCCACTCCTCCCTATCCTCTTCATCACCCTCACCTTCTCTCTCACCTGGGACATCCATTCTGAATTCAGCCTTGGACCCTAAACCTATACCCAAGCCCGACATTGGCCAAAGTAATCTGCAAGCAAAAAATACAGGCAACAAAGATGATTTGGCTGTCCAGGGCCAGGGCTCACTTTCTCCTGCAAAACAGACTTCTGGCCAAGGCACAACAAGCCCTTCCTTCACTGGAAGCACCAACTTAAGTCTTGGAAGTCAAGACGATGAGAAGAAATCATCTGGGAACTTACTCGGAAAGCACAGAGAAAAATTTCCTGCAAGTACAACTGGAAACCAAATCCTCCAGCCATATTTAGAAAAGCAAAGTGTTCATACACAACCTGGTGAGACTGCTCTTCCATCTGCTGACTTAACCCTGAGCAAATCTGGTCACACTGCTGCACAAACCACAGACCCACCTGCGGCCTCAGCCAACAAAACTACCACTAGTGTTGGACAGAGTGGATTGGAAAGAGAATACTCAAGCCATACTGAAAAGAGAACGTCAGGATCGTGGACATCAGAGGATATTAGTGTTGAAAAAGAGCACGAGGTTGCAAGTCCCAGAATGTGCCGGGATTTAAATGGCGCTGAGGATGGCAGAGCGGGATCGTGTCGTCCATGTAACAGAGAAACAAAAACAAACCATAGTAGTGATGCTCCACAGCGGGCTGCAGTGAGACGAGCAATGTCTGACTGTTCACATCTGGCTGTTCCCATGGTAATGGCAGGGACATACCCCACCAGTATGGGAGGCTCACCAGTGATGGCACCAAATGTGCTGAATTTTACCATGACAGGAACAGCATGTCTGACCAGGGCGCCCTACCAACACGTGGCTGTCCGGCGCTCACTTACGGTCACGGACGGCACCGAGGCGGCTGCTGCAATGGCGACAATGATGGTTTCCCCATTAATAACATCTCCTGTTTTGCCATCTTCCCCACCCCCAAAGAGACATCATGGAAGCTGCGAGAGCAATTTTCTAATTCCTGTCCCACCCCCTGTTGGAGCGTCAGCTAACGTCTCTCAAGATAGTAAGCTAAACACAGCGGGTAAGACTTCTTGACTCCCTCTATGTGTGTAGTTGTAGTCACTGGAGGCCATGACTATGCATCAACCAATCAGCACACAGTCACGTGTTTTGCTTGGCTGAATAATATTTACGTTCTACCAAAAAAAATCAGTTTATACAGCGTATACTTGTCTTGTATATTTCTCTACATTTTGCTGACATCTAGTAGCATGTAAAATGCCTCATCTGCCAGAAGGTGAACTTAATATAATCCAGTGTTTTGGTTAATAGTGTTTCCCAAATACTATTAACCAATAAAAAAGAATGCCATGCGCGCAAGAATGCTTCTGTGTGGCATAGTGAGATTAGATGCTGCTGTGCAAACAGAAAAGTAGAAACATGCAAAGCAATGACTATCGCAGCCATCAAATGGCTCTGTCTTTAAAAAGTCCATCAATGGTAGATCTCACTGTGAGACCTAGTGACCCTGCATACTCATTTTCTAATGGCTTGGGTAACAAACGCAAGCCGTTTGCCAGTGAGCACATCCTGTTGTATCCTCATTTGTGACTCCTGTTAATGTTGACTTGAAACTAGTGACTAAACCCACAAAGTCATTAGCTTACTTAGGCCACAGGCTTCTATACAAAAATTTAAGTTTTAGGCACTTCTGCATTTATTTATTTCCATGCTGTGTACTTGCATTCTTGAAAAACTGTGACAATGTAGTAGTAGTAGTAGCTACGCCCACTGCTTTCACAAAAATGTATATGCATTTGGTGAGATGGGCATTGCAAACTTGTTGGAGCAGCCCAAGGTAGTTAAATTAATAGTGTTACTTCAACCTATAGCCACATTGTATATTGAGGGGCATCCCACACTAGCAAAATCAAAACCATGAAGACTAAATGTGTAGAGGGTTTTGCCTTGCCAGGAGAGTTTATTATCTTCAATTAAATTTAAAATCTTCCTTATGTCACTGGAGCATTAACATTATACACCTAAATTCGTGAGTAGCAGCAGATCTTTCTTTGCCCTTCCTTCCTCTGCACTTCAACTGACCACATATCATTACAGCACAATTGCATTTGGCTAAATTTAGCTGTCTGCTGTGGCTTCCTTTCAGACAATAAGCCAGAGTGAAAAGAGATGCATTTTAAATTTCAGTAAGAGGCTTTATTTCTTTATTAGGCTGCCATATCAGTTTCAGTTTTCACAGAAGCCAGTTTTTATCCACAGCGTACGTCTAGTGTCATTCTAGTTTATGATAGCAGTTAATCAAGTTAATGAGCTGAGTTGAAAGGAGTGTATGGCAGTTGCACATGTCAATATGTGGAGTAATGTGTAATAAAGTAATGTAATAAAGGTATGAGAGGGTTATCTTACACGGCCACTAACTTAAGTTTGCATGGCTAGTAAACACACTGAAAATAATGTGGACAGAATGACAAAGAATAAAGGAAATGACAGCAGACAAGAGCTGTTTAACCAGGTTATAAGATTTCTTGCAAAGGGGGAGGAAGAATCACGATGTTGTATTTGAAGTAGAGGTATGATCCATAACCAGGTCAGTGTTACATTGAAAGCTGTCTGGCCAATAGACGTTCTCCTCCAGGGGACTCGTACTATAAAAAAACGTAAAAGGTTGAGTCTCTTTTAATTGACATCTTCTCCTAACAGGTGATGGAATAAGGTAAATCAGTCTGGGAAATAACATCACATCTTTATCGTGTTTCATCTTATCTGATGAGTGTCTAACATAGATCATGGTACAGAATTCTTTTATGAGTGCCTAGAGATATTCAAAGGACATTTTCACAGGTTGAGACCGATGATGAAACAAAAGCATGTGAAGAGAACAGGCAGAGGATTATGGGAGAACTCTGTCATAGATAATTTCCTTTTTTATAGCCTTTTATCTATAACAACAAATCATCTATAACAGTGTTCTCCCATAATCTTCTGCCTGTTCTCTTCCCATGCTTTTGTTTCATCATCATTGCGGGGTGGCTGTAGCTCAGGAGGTAGAGCAGGTCATCTACTGATCAGAAGGTTGGTGGTTTGGTCCCTGGCTCCCCCTGTGTGCATGCCCCAAATTGCTCTCTGAAAGATCCATCAGAGTGGGAATGTGTGTGAGTGTTAGGTAGAAAGTACTTAAAAAGCATAGAAGAAAGTGCTTGTGTGAATGGGTATGAATGGGTGAATGTGGCGCTTTGAGTTGAGTAGAAAAGCGCTATGAGGAGTCAGTCCATTTAATGTTCCGAGACTGAGTAGAGAGGCCCTGCTCTGCTCACTTTTTGCACCATACCTTTATTTTAAGACTACTAAAGTAGCTTTGCATGATATATAGTTGAAAATAATCTTCGTTTATCTCAGTCAGGGCCTTAGTTTACTTGAAGGCTTATTTTTGATTAGCTGCCCTACGTGAAAGGTTTGATCAGCCAGAGTTGTTTGCCTGCAATGACCTTTTAAGGATATTCGCTGTCACTGATGTCATACAGATGCAAGAGTAGGAAAAACTGCCTGAAACATAGTGTTTAGTGCAGTCTAGCCTGATCCAGTTGCTCGCAGGGATTACTTGTACTGACCTCATTATTTGAAACTGTGTCCATGTTTAATGTGAGTATCAGTCATTGGAAGTGTTTGTGTGACAAAACATAAAAGAATAGGCTGAATAGACCCAATCTGAGATTATTTAATATGTACCATTTGCTCTTATTGTAATGGCTTCTGCTGGTTTACTTTTAGAATAACTGCATGCCTCTAACTGTTTAATCCATCCATTCAGTGTGTTGTTTTGTTTTGCAGCCTGCAGTTGACAGAAAGCTGGAACATTGATTAGACATTGACACTGACTGTACTCATTCAAATATAGAGCGGCTATTTCTAGAATTGTGTGTGTGCATATTTGTTCATACACACAGTATGTGTGTGTAGGTGAACAGCTTCCACTGACGTGAATCTTTGAGATTCTAAAGGCACACACCCACACAGACACACTCACAACAGACAGCATGTCTGCAACTTAAGGTGCTGTCTTCATTCAGCACAGAAGGGACTCACAGCTACACGTACCACACGCACGACAAAGTACACAACTGTGAAGGGAGGGGGCAGACAAGTGCAAGGCTCAAATCTTGAGCTTACACGACACAGACTGAAAATAAGCAGATATTAAGAACAGTTAGGCTCAGCTAACGGCAGCTTTCATTTAAGACACGTCTTTCAGCTGATGGCATCAAAAGCTTCGTTATGTGCTTGGACTCTCAAACAAGACACAGCTTACAGCAGCTGCCTGTGGTTTTTAGAGCTCATTCAAAGGACTGAGGCTGGTACTTATATAGGTGTTTTGTGCTCGAACTAGGCACTCAAAGCTCTTTTTGGACTCTGCTAAATTTGGTAGTATCAGTGGTTCCCGTTAATAACAGCAAACTAACGTTAAAAAGCAGCTGGTTCATCAGACATAACAGCAGCTGGTTTATCTGTAGCCCAAAACAGATCATGGTTTTTGTTTTTTAACTGGAGGTCAGAACACAATCAAATAAATCAGCAAAACAGTTTTTACATAAAATAAGTACTTTACTTCCTGGTTTGTTTGTTGTCAGAAAAGCTGGAAATGGCATCTTCTGGTCATGTTTTGTTAGTTTGATTTTGCTAGCTGAATACGTTTTGCTAAATGCTAACAGTTATAACCACAAATGTTACAAAGTTGCTTTTTGTAACAGTGAGGCTAAAACCAATGAGGCACATTATACTTAAGTGCTTTTTAATTTGCAGGGTTAATGATGTGAACAGCATATATTTAACCCAAACCGTCATCTTTCATAAGCCTAAACAATTTGTATTGTGCTTCAGTGTAGCCACAAAGCCAGTGAAAGGAGTGAAACAAAGCTCTGATTTATTCCACCTTCATTTACAATTTACAAAATTTCATAAACACAATTTACTAAATTGTTAGTTTGCTACAATATCTGTTAACTGCAGCTCAATTAAGTATTAAATGTAATATCTAGTGTTATTCATTGTTTTAATTATTTTAAATTCAACATTAAATTTTATAATTTGTCCAACAGAAAAAAACTAGTACTATATGAGGAAGTCAGGAGCAGTAAAGAAGTATGTGAGGGTGGTGAAGTAAGAGACTGGTGATGGGTCATGGTGGGGAGGGTATGACATCAGGTATCTACTTTGAGCCAAGGGCGTAGATTTGGTTTTGGCATTGGTGGGGACGGATGAGTCAACAACCGAACCCTGCCCCGTTTCTTTTTTTTTCCTTTTTGTCGTGGCTGTAGCTCAGGTGGCAGAGCAGGTCAGCCACTAATCAGAAGGTCGGTGCTTCGATCCCAGGCTGCCTCCTGGCTGCATGCCAAATATCCTTGGGCAAGATACTAACCCCATGTTTTGCCTACTGGTGGTGGTCAGAGGGCCCGGTGGCGCCAGTGTCCGGCAGCCTCGCCTCTGTCAGTGCGCCCCAGGGCATCTGTGGCTACAACATAGCCTGTCATTGCCAGTGTGTGAATGTGTGAATGACTGAATGTAGTGTAAAGCGCTTTGGGGTCCTTTGGGACTGAGTAAAGCGCTATACAAATGCAGGCCATTTTACCATTTTCTTGATAACAAAAGGAGAAATATACTTGCCTACATATGCTATTCTACATGCTTTTAAACCATTTAAAATTGCAATTCATAATTATATAATGAATTATATAATTATGACGTATAATTATACGTCAATTATATAATGTTAAATTACTATTAAACAAATGACTAAGTATTTTAGACTTTAGTTTACTTCAGCCATATTCCATATAAATCAGGTATCATACAAAAATAAAAATAGCTTCAAATACAGTCATGACAATAAAGAATATGACTTTAAGGACTTAACAACATTACTTCAGTCATAATACACCAACATCTCTGACACATTAGCACTAAGGGAACACTGAATGACCTGGTGGTTTTTGTCCATAAAGCTACTCATCTAAGATTACCACAAAGTAAAAGATCTCTCTGCAAAAGTATGCAACATTTTAGGCA